TCCTATAGCGAGTCTTGAGGCAATTGATCTGTGTTCTGGCAAAAACCAGCACCTGGAATGGCACCAGAGTCCCTCCTTTCTTTTTATACAGGGGATTTCCTCTGAGTTGCGGGTCATGTGGTGGCACTGCCAAAAGTAGAAACCACTACCTCACTTCCAGTTCACGTTCTTTCTATGAAAGACATGATTTGGGGCCACATGTGGGGGCTCACACCTGTAATGCCAGCACTTTGGGAGGTCAAGGCTGGCAGATCCCTTGAGGTCAGGAGTTTGAGATGAACCTGGCCAACATGGGAAAACCAAGTCTCTACGAAAAAATAAAAAAATAGTGGAGCATGGTGGTGCACACCTGTAATATCTCAGCTACTTGGGAGGCTGAGGCAGGAGAATCACTTGAACCTGGGAGGCGGAGGTTGCAGTGAGCTGAGATCGTGTCATTGCACTCCTGCCTGGGTGACAGAGCAAGATCCCATCTCAGAAAAAAAAAAAAAAAAAGGAAAGATATGATTTGGGCTGGGCATGGTAGCTTACTCCTGTAATCCAGCATGTTGGTAGGCCGAGGGTGGAGGATCAATTGAGCCCAGGAGTTTGAGACCAGCCTGGGCAACACAGCAAGATCCTTTTTCTACTAAAGATAAAAAATAAAATAAAAATTAGCTGGACATGGTGGTGCATGCCTGTAGTCCCAGTTACTTGGTAGGGTGAAGTTGAGTCCGGGAGATACAAAGCTGCAGTGAGCTATGATCACACCATTGCACCATAATGCATTCTAGCCTAGATGACAGAGTGTGACCCTGTCTTTAAAAAAAAAAAAGCTATGATTTGGACCCATGATGGGCCGGGCACCATCAGCACCTGCAGGTACTTAGATGAATGAGACGTTTCCTGCCTCTGAGCTTCCAAGGCCCCGCTGAGGTCTGACACCAGGTCCTGAGGCTGCAAGCCCAGGGTTCAGGCTTCCTCCTGCCCCCCACCACCACTTCCTGACCTTTAACCCCATCCCCACCCCCACCAACTTCCTCCAGGTGGTTTTCCAGATCCCTGCCTGACCTGTGGCTCTCTGCTGTGTTTCCCCAGACGGATCTGACATTCGTGGGTGTGGTGGGCATGCTGGACCCTCCACGCAAGGAGGTCACGGGCTCCATCCAGCTGTGCCGTGACGCCGGGATCCGGGTGATCATGATCACTGGGGACAACAAGGGCACAGCCATTGCCATCTGCCGGCGAATTGGCATCTTTGGGGAGAATGAGGAGGTGGCCGACCGCGCCTACACAGGCCGAGAGTTCGATGACCTGCCACTGGCTGAACAGCGGGAAGCCTGCCGACGTGCCTGCTGCTTCGCCCGAGTGGAGCCCTCCCACAAGTCCAAGATCGTGGAGTACCTGCAGTCCTTCGATGAGATCACAGCCATGGTGAGGGGCCCCAGACAGCTACCGTCTTCTTAATGTCCAAGGACATGACCACATGACTGTGCTGGGGAGACTGGGGCCCAGGCAGGAGGGCGCTCGTGAGATGCCAGAAGGGTGGGGATTCAGAGAGGAGTCTGAAGGAGGAAATGTGGGCTGGGCTTGTAATCCCTGCACTTTGGGAGGCTGAGGTGGGTGGATCACTTGAGGTCAGGAATTTGAGACCAGCCTGGGCAACATAGTAAGACCTCATCTCTACCAAAACAAAATTTTTATTATTTATTTATTTTTTAAAGATGGGGTTTCACCATGTTGGTCAGGCTGTTCTTGAACTCCCGACCTCAGGTGATCCGCCCGCCTTGACCTCCAAAGTGCTTGGATTTGAGGCCACCCCGCCCGGCCTCAAAACCAAATTTTAAAAATAAATTTAGCCTCATGGTGGCACGTTTGTGTCTCCTAGCTACATGAGAGGCTGAGGTGGGAGGATCACTTGAGCACAGTAGTTTGAGGCTGCAGGGAGTTACGACTGCACTTCAGCCTGGACAACAGAGTGAGACCCTGTCTCAAAAAAAAAAAAAAAATGCCAGGTGCGATGGCTCACGCCTATAATCCTAGAACTTAAGGAGGCTGAAATGGGCAGATCACCTGAGGTCAGGAGTTTGAGACCAGCCAGGCCAACATGGCAAGATCCTATCTCTACCAAAAAATAGAAAAATTGGTCAGGGTGCGGTGGCACGTGCCTGTAGTCCCAGCTACTCGGGAGGCTGAGGCATGAGAACTGCTTGAACCTGGGAGGTGGAGGTTGCAGTGAGCTAAGACTGCCACTGCACTCCAGCCTGGGCAACAGAGCAAGAGCCCATCTAAAAAAAAAATGTGCCGATCTTTGTTCTAAACTGAGCTTTTGGCCAGGTGTGATGGCCCACACCTGTAATTTCAACACTTTGGGAGGTTGAGGCAGGAGGGTTGCTTGAGCCCAGGAGTTGAGACCAACCTGGGCAACACAATGAGACCTCGTCCCTAAAATAAAAAAAAGAAGGGATGTGTGAAGGTGCCCTGACCCCACCTCCTTCTCCTCCCTCAGACAGGTGATGGCGTCAATGATGCCCCTGCCCTGAAGAAGGCCGAGATTGGCATTGCCATGGGATCTGGCACTGCCGTGGCCAAGACTGCCTCCGAGATGGTGCTGGCTGATGACAACTTCTCCACCATCGTGGCTGCTGTGGAGGAGGGCCGCGCCATCTACAACAACATGAAGCAGTTCATCCGCTACCTCATTTCCTCCAACGTGGGCGAGGTGGTCTGGTGAGCAGCCCAGTGGGCGTCCAGGAGGAAGCCAGGGTCAGGGTGGGGCCGCTGCAGGTCTGGGAGGCAGGACAGAGGTGTGACCATCTCCTTCCCGCAGCATCTTCCTGACCGCCGCTCTGGGGCTGCCCGAGGCCCTGATCCCAGTACAGCTGTTGTGGGTGAACTTGGTGACTGACGGACTCCCGGCCACAGCCCTGGGCTTCAACCCACCAGACCTGGATATCATGGACCGGCCCCCCCGGAGCCCCAAGGAGCCCCTCATCAGTGGCTGGCTGTTCTTCCGCTACATGGCAATCGGGGGTGAGCTGGCGGGGCTCTTTGATCTTCCCCAGCCCTCGGGACTGACCCCTTCTCTGGGATACCAGCTCCCCCACACAGGCCCTGAGAGAGCCTTCTTCCTCGGCTAGCCTGTCTATGGCCACGTGAGGCCCTCGACATCCCCCATCTTCCCAGCCCTGACCCCTGACTCCTTTTTCTCCACCACAGGCTACGTGGGTGCAGCCACTGTGGGAGCGGCTGCCTGGTGGTTCCTGTACTCAGAGGACGGGCCTCATGTCAACTACAGCCAGCTGGTAGGGGGAGGCCACAGAGGAGGGGACCAGGAGGGTGGCATGGAGGTGGCCCTGGACATCAGTCTCCCATCCCTTCCCTGCAGACTCACTTCATGCAGTGCACCGAGGACAACGCCCACTTTGAGGGCATAGACTGTGAGATCTTCGAGGCCCCCGAGCCCATGACCATGGCCCTGTCTGTGCTGGTGACCATCGAGATGTGCAACGCACTCAACAGGTGGGCCCCTGCCACGCCTGCCACCCTCCGAGGCCACCACCCATATCCTCTACCTTGCTGCCTGCCTCCTCCCTTCTCACCGCATCCTCTCCCTGCCCTTCCCCTCTGCAGCCTTTCTGAGAACCAATCCCTGCTGCGGATGCCACCCTGGGTGAACATCTGGCTGCTGGGCTCCATCTGCCTCTCTATGTCCCTGCACTTTCTCATCCTCTACGTCGACCCCCTGCCGGTGAGACTTCTTCCACCCAGGACCACCCACCCTAGTGCTAGGGAGCCCAAGGTGGACCCATGACCGCTCCCACCGGGGGCACTGATATGGGAGGTCGGCGGGAGCAGGCTGGGCAGTTTGGGTCTCCGGCTCCCGCTCCGCCCCCCTCCTGAGAGGACGCTTGTCCCCTGCCCCAGATGATCTTCAAGCTCCGGGCCCTGGACCTCACCCAGTGGCTCATGGTCCTCAAGATCTCACTACCGGTCATCGGGCTTGACGAAATCCTCAAGTTCATTGCTCGGAACTACCTAGAGGGTAAGAAGTGCCCTCTCTGTCCCTAAGCCCTGGTCCCAGCACAGCCCCCTCCCCACAGCGCCGCCCCCACCCCATCCCCCTACTTTGCAGGTGGTAAGTTCCTCAGCCCTAGCAGGACTTGTGTCTCTTCCGTTCCCCCTGCGCTTGGAGGGGCCACATCTCCAGGGTAGTCCCACTGCCTCCTCAGCCCCCATGGTCCCCACACCACCTCCTTGCCTTGATAACGGTGCCTCTTGTCCTCTCTGGTCATAGGATAACCGTTCCCCCTCCTCCATCTCTTTGAGTCCGTGTCACAGGTATCACCCCCCTCTTGCCCTCGCCCCAGCTGCTGTGCCCCCGCCGCCCGCGCCCCCCAGCCCCTTGCACATCGCATCCAAGGTCACTTGCGCTCGCAGCTCCACCCGGAGCCATTGTCGCTGCTGCTGCGGCCGTCGCGCTTCCAGTTGGGGTGGGCCACTGGCCTCTCCCTAGGCAGCTGGGCTCCCAGGCCTGAGCAGTGCCAGCCTCTGGGCCCATCTGCTGCGCAGCGTCGCGCTGGCTGTGTGCTGGGCTGTCTCTGCTGTGGGGCTGCAATGGGGAGCGGGGTGTCTGGGGGGGGCAGGTAAATAGGGAAGGAACTGTGGGTGGTGAGCCTCTGAGCCTCCAGGTGAGTTTCGTGCCTGGGAGATGTAACTGGGAGGGACTTTGCTGCCCTCCTGCCGCCTGCCTCATCCCTTTTCTTTCCCCTTCCAGATCCAGAAGATGAAAGAAGGAAGTGAATGTCCTTTTGCCCTGTCCTCCCCACCCTGATAGTGACGCATCTTCAGGCAGAGCTGTGGCACAGACCCCTGTCCGTCCCCACACTCCCCCGACATGTTTCTGTTTATAAACACAATGTCCCCTTCCCTTTCCTTCCCCCTCAGCCACCCACCTCCCTCTGAACTGTGTAAATCCCCCTTCCCAACCCCAAGGGGCTTGCAGGGACAAGGCGACCGACCGCGCTGAGCTGCTTATTTATTGAAAATAAATGACAGAAAAGTCCGGCCTCGCCTCTGCACGGTTGGAGGCCCGGGTCACTCCTATGGTCAAGCGTCTTAGTGTCATGCAGACCAGAAGGCAGCTGCCTGTCCCAGGGCCGAAGCCCACCTCACTGCCTCTGATGGGGACTCCCAGCCCCCATGACTCGGCTGTGCCCAGGACAGGGGATGAGCTGGGGGCAGGGGAGGGCTGGCGCCCAGGAGGCAGCACAGCAGCCAGAAAGCCGCAGGCCTGAGCCTGCACCTTTGGTTCGGGGAGGGGCTTGGGCCCCTCACCCAGGTGTGATCCCTGAGAGCAGGAGGCCCAGCCACCCTGGGAGGAGGCACTGGAGGGCTGGGCAGTGGTGGCCCTGTCCGTCCCCTCAACCCCAGGCTCAGGGACAGTGGAGATGCCATCCAAGACCCCAGAGCCAGGCCTCATGGTTCTGGAGTGGGGAAAGGCGTCTTTCCCGGGGCGGGGTGGGGGTGGGGTCACCCTGACCCCTCAGGTATCCTTGATGTCCCTGATGTCTGTGAGTGGCGCCTCATCCATGATGCTGCGCACCTGCTCCAGGGTCTCTGCCTGGCGGATCCGCTCCAGTCGCACCTGCAGGGTCGGGCCAGGGGAGCAGAGGGCACTTGGTGGAGAAAAGCAGCCCCTACACCATCTGTCAGCCCCCAAGGGCAGGGCCTGGGACCAGTAGACCCAGAGGCCACCTCTGGGGGGCTAACACCACAAATGCCGAGCGTCCACACCATGCCCTGCACTGAAGGCTTCAGGTGACTGACTTGCACACGTGAGAACTTCAGGGTTTTTTGAGCAATAGCTCAGGACAGGACCATGCCAGCCTCAGGAGGAGGAAAGGACTCCCCTAACCAGGAGACTGCCCTTGCAAGACCAAGGAGAGGTCATCCAGAGTGGAGCCAGCCAGCTTGGTGGGGCTGGGACAGGCCGTACCTGCAGAGCCTGGGACAGTCGCACGAAATCCCTCTGCACTTGCTCGCTGGTCTCCAGCTCTGCCTGCAGCCGCAGCACCTTGGCCCTCTGTTCTGAGAGGTCTGGGAGCTGGGCCTGCAGGGACATGACACTGACCTGGGCCTGGCTCACCCTGGGCCAGATGAGAGGGTGCATGGCTCCAACATGGGAGGTCCCAATACAGTGCCCCCTTCTACACTGCCCCTGACTCCGACGACCTCTGGCTTAGCAAAGCCCGGCCATTGCCCCAGGGCTTCCTCCCACCTGGCCTGAGGGAGACACAGAGGGCGGAAGGGGTGGGGGAGGGTCTTTTCCAGTTACCCAGTCCCTCTCCTCCCCTTCACCTTGCTCTGTTCCTGCTGCACCCGCTCCACCTCCGTCCTCAGGCTGCACAGGGAGGCTGGGAAGTCAGGGCAGGGCAAGACGTCAGGGCCATGCCCTCTCCCTTTCCCCACCTACCCTAGCCAGGGTGGGCGATCCACAAGATCACCTCCAGCACACACTCACCCTCCAGCACCTCTGTGGGAAGGAAAGAAAGAGAGGTCAAGGCCAGTGGGTGCACCAATGCCTCTCTCCCCTCCCCGCTGCTATCCTTGCCCTGTGGCTCCCTGCAGGGACGTCAGGGGTCCTGGGCCCCCAGCTCGAGCCGTTCCCCTCACCTGTCTCCTCCCGCTGCACCCTCAGCTGCCCCTCCAGGCTGGCTCTGGCCGCTGTCTCCTCCTCCAGAGCCTCCCGCAGCGTCACAATCTCGATCCGTAGGCGCTCGGCCCCATGCTCCTGGGCCTGCAGCCGGGCCTGCGCCTCCTGCTGCGTGTAGCGCAGCAGCTGCTGCAGCTCCTGGAAGGGACACGAGGAGTCACCTGCTGGGCCGTGTACAGGGCAGGAGGGCAGAGGCCAACAGACAGATGGCAGAAGGGGATTGTGGGGAGGAACAGAAAAGGAAGGAAGGAAGGAAGCAAATGGCTAAAACAGGGAAGAACCCAAATGCCCATCGTCTGGAGGGTAGATAGGCGAGTTCCGACCCAGCAGAAGAAACTCAGGCACCACGGCCATGCCCCACACCGTGGAGAGTGCTCAGGAAGAGTATGAACGAAAAGTTCAGCAGATTACCTACAGCAAAAGTCCCTTGTCAGGCACGGTGGCTCACGCCTGTAATCTCAGTACTTTGGGAGGTCAAGGTGGGCAAATCAGTGAGGTCAAAGGTTCGAGACCAGCCTGGCCAATATGGTGAAATCCTGTCTCTACTAAAAATACAAAAATTAGCCAGGTGTGGTGGCCCACGCCTGTAATCCCAGCTACTCAGGAGGCTGAGGCAGGAGAATCACTTTAACCAAGGAGGTGGAAGTTACAGTGAGTCAAAATCAGGCCACTGCACTCCAGCCTGGGTGATAAAGCAAGATTCTGTCTCAAAAAATAAAAATAAAATAAACCCTTTTGTAAAGCTCAAGAACAACTAAAATTAAGCACCGCTCTGTTCATGTAACAAAAACAACACCAAAGAAGAGCTCAAAGGCAAAGCAGAGCCAAGGAATGGGGAGGGGGTGCCCAAAGTGGACGGATCTCAGGGTGGGGAGGGCGCCCCAGGAATCTTTTGCTTTTTCTCTTTTTTTTGAGACAGTGCTCACTCTGTGACCCATGCTCACTCTGTGGCCCAGGCTGGTGTGTAGTGGCACGATCACATCTTCCTGCAGCCTTGACCTCCCAGGCTCAAACAATCCTCCCGCCTCAGACACTTGAGTAGCTGAGACTACAGGTGGAGACCACCGTATCCAGCTAATTTTTGTATTTTTTTGTAGAGACAGGGTCTCAACTATGTTGCCCAAGCTGATATTGAACTCCTGGGCTCAAGTGATCCTCCTGCCTCAGGCTCTTGAGTAGCTGAGACTATGGGCACAAGTCACCAAGCCCAGCTAATATTTGTATTTTTATTTTTTGTAGAGATAGGGTCTTGCTTTATTGCCTAGGCTGGTCTTGAACTCCTGGCTCAAGTGATCCTCCTGCCTCAGCCTCCCAAACTGCTGCAATTACAGGCGTGAGCCACTATGCCCAGCCACCTGGTGGCTGTTTCTATTACTAATCAATTTATTAATAAGCCATATTATTATTTTTATTTTTGGAGATGCAGCCTCATTCTGTTGCCCAGGCTGGAGTGTAGTGGTGCGATCTCAGCTCACTGCAACCTCCGCCTCCCAGGTTCAAGCGATTCTCCAGCCTCAGCCTCCTAGTAATCCAGCTGGGATTACAAGTGCCCACCACCATGCCTGGCTAATTTTTGTATTTTTAGAAGAGATGGGGTTTTGCCATACTGGCCAGGCTGGTCTCCAACTCTTGACCTCCCCACCCACCTTGGCCTCCCAAAGTGCTGGGATTATAGGCGCGAGCCACCGCACCTGGCCCCGACTAATTTTTGTTGTATTTTTAGTAGACACGGGGTTTTACCATGTTGCCCAGGCTGGTCTCGAACTCCTGACCTCAAGTGATCCGCCTGCCTCAGCCTTGCAAAGTGCTAGGATTACAGGTGTGAGCCACTGTGCCCAGCTAATAAGCCGTATCATTGAGAAATTGAGTCGACAAAGGCCAGGCATAGATCCATGACGGCAGCTTGCTATGAACCAAAGATTATGATGAATTTGATCCTGTGGCTCACATGTCACTTAAAAATAGCAAACCAACCAAATGATTGCTTGCTTCCTGCAAAGCATTCTCTTAATTCCTTTTCTCTTGCTGCCAACACTGGAAAGGGCATATGATCCCACTTCTCAGATGAGGAAACCGAGCCTTGGAGAAGGCAAATGAGTTGGACAAGCAAATAACACAGCAGCCTGGCTAGTCCTGACCAGTGCTCAGCTCTGCCTGGGAAGGAGGGGACCTCACGGCGCTCCCAGGCTCTCAGTGCCCACACCCAGCTTACCGGCACAGAGCTGGGCAGTGATTCCTCCTCGCCCCGCTCCTGCTGCAGGCCCTGGGGGGCTGAGGATGGTGGTTGCTCGGCCCGGAGCCCTTGGTTTTCCTCATTCAATCGCTTTACCTCATTGTGAAGGCACTTGTGGGTGGTGACCAGCTCTGCCTGGGGACAGACAGTTAGTACAAGTCAATGAGGAGGACAGGGTGTCTCCAGTCCCTAGGAGGCCAAACCTTAAATCCTCCTCCCAGACTGACAGCAAGAGAGCCCATGGCCCCTCTGCTCCTGAGCAAGGAAGGAGTACTTTTTGCTACCAAGCTCTTTAGACACCCCTGTCCCTGCTGACTCAGAGGTTACATGCTGCTGCCAGAGCCCAAGGGGGTATTTATTTGGTCCATATATATATATATATATATATATATGGACCAAATAAATATATATATATATATATATATATATATATATACGTACACACACGTATATATTTAAATATGTGTGTGTGTGGTGTATTTTATATATATATATATATTTTTTTTTTTTTTTGAGATGGAGTCTCCCTCTTTCACCCAGGCTGGAGTGCAATGGTGCAATCTCAGCTCACTGCAACCTCTGCCTCCTGGTTTCAAGTGATTGTCCTGCCTCAGCTTCCTGAGTAACTGAGATTATAGGGGCCCGCCACCACACCCAGCTAATTTATATATTTTTATCTATCTATCTATCTATCTATCTATCTATCTATCTATCTATCTATCTATCTATTTATTGAGATGGCGTTTTGCTCTTGTTGCCCAGGCTGGAGTGCAATGGTGGGATCTCAGTTCACCGCAACCTCTACCTCCCCGATTCGAGTGATTCTCCTGCCTCAGCCTCCCGAGTAGCTGGGATTACAGGCATGCTCCACCACACCTGGCTAATTTTGTAATTTTAGTAGAGGTGAGGTTTCTCCATGTTGGCCAAACTGGCCTTGAACTTCTGACCTCAAGTAATCCACCTGCCTCGGCCTCCCAAAGTGCTGTGATTACAGACGTGAGCCACCGTGCCTGGCCTAATTTTTGTCTTTTTAGTAGAGATGGGTTTTTGCTGTGTTAGCCAGGCTTGAACTCCTGATCTCAGGTGATCCACCTGCCTAGCCCTCCCAAAGCGCTAGGATTACAGGCGTGAGTCACCTCGCCCAGCCTGATTTGCTTTTAATCCTCATGACTCTGCAAACTAGGCCCCATTATGTCAGTTTTACAGATGGTGAGGCAGAGGCTGGAAGTCTGGGATTAGCTCAAGATCTAACAGCTCTGTGTGGCTGCAGGGGCCCTGTTCTGGCCACTGCACCAGCTGCCCCAAAACCCTCTTAACCTACCTGGCACTGGCTCCAGGGTGTGGCCTGGGCAGCCGGGGACAGGACAGTTGCCTTGACTTCCCACATGACCCCCTCCACCACATGCAACTGGTTTCTGCCAGACTTTTCACCCTTTTGCCCCAGGTACTCACCATCTGCAGCTGTACCCGCTCCTGGGCCTGGCTCACGGTCCCCTGCAGGGTCCGCAGCAGCTGCTCTGAGTTCTGGACCTGGGCCAGGAGCACCTGCATCTGTGTTGAAGGGAGGACGAGGGTGAGGGCAGGCGGATGTCAGGGGGTGGCATGCAGCCCAGAGGCCCGGGTGGTGCTGCAGCAGCAGCAGGGACCCACCTGCTTGGCACAGTCCTCGTTGCTCCGTCTCAGGCCCTCTTGCAGCACGTCCCGCTCACGGCTGATGCTCTCCAGGTCCTTCTGCAGCTGTCGGCCCTGCCACAGACCCTGCCTTCAGCCTGCATCTCCCAGGAACTCAGGCCCCCCTCGCCGCACTTCTTGTGGCCTGCCTCTGCAGGGAGGCGCCCTCATCGATACAGTCCCTTGAGTTAGAGGCCCAGGCATCCATTCTCTTCCCTTCACTCCCCACCCAACAGCAGGCCCTGCTGGGTTTACCTTCAAAGTGGATTCCACAGGGCTATGCGCAGTGGCTCACGCCTGTAAACCCAGCACTTTGTGAGGCCAAAGCGAGTGCATCATTTGAGGTCATGGGTTCAAAACCAGCCTGGCCAACATGGTGAAACCCCATCTCTACTAAAAATACACAAACTTAGCTGGGTGTGGCAGCAGGACACCTGTAATCTTAGATACTCAGGAAGCTGAGGCAGGAGAATCGTGTAAACCTGGGAGGCGGAGGTTGCAGTGAGCTGAGGTTGTGCCACTGCACACCAGCCTGGGTGACAGAGCGAGACTCCATCTCAAAAAAAAAAAAAACAACAGGGCTGGGCGCAATGGCTCATGCCTATAATCCCAGCACTTTGGGAGGTCAAGGTGAGTGGATCACCTGAGGTCCGGAGTTCAAGACCAGCCTGACCAATATGGTGAAACCTTGTCTCTACTAAAAATAAAAAAAAACTAGCCGGGTGTGGTGGCAGGTGCCTGTCATCCCAGCTACTCTGGAGGCTGAGGCAGGAAAATTGCTTGAACCCAGGAGGTGGAGGTTATAGTGAGCCAAGATTGGGCCACTGCACTCCGGCCTGCGTGACCGGGCAGAACTCCATCTTAAAAACAAAAAACAAAAAACAGTGGATTCCACATCCACCCATTTATTCCTGTCTCTGCACCCATCCCCTGGTCCAAGGTACCACGTTCTCCTATACCAGAGTCCCAGCCTCTTAGCTTCTCCTATGGCCCCTATCCCAACACAGGCCCGCCCAAGTAAGCTTTCTTTCTTTTTTCCCAACTAAACTTCCTTGCAACTAAACACGATCATCTGGCTAAGTTCCAGCTACTGAGACAGAAATAGATGAGCCAAGGGCAACTTCCAGGACAACTCTTATTTGATTATTACTTTTTTTTTTTAAGACGAAGTCTCGCTCTTGTCGCCCAGGCTGGAGTGCAATAGTGTGATCTTGGTTCACTGCAACCTCTGCCTCCTGGATTCAAGTGATTCTCCTGCCTCAGCCTCCCAGGATTACAGGAGTCTGTGGCAGGGATTACAGGCACCTGCCACCACGCCTGGCTAATTTTGCATTTTTAGTAGAGACGGGGTTTCGAACTCACAGTTCCTTGTGCCCTGGTCTTTAAGTGTGCCTCCTCCCACCCTCTGGGTCTCAGCTCCAGCTTGAGCCTGGGTCAGTCTCCCTCACCGCCAGTCTCTACCCCATAACCCTGTTCAGTTTCTTTTTCTGGGTATCTCCCTGGTTGACAAGGTCTTCCTCATGCATCCATGTGCATTTTTTTTTAAAGCAGCTTTATTGAGTTATAATTTATTTACTATATAATTTACCCACGTGAAATGTACAACTCAATTTTTTTGTATATCACATTATTATTATTATTATTATTATCTTGAGACAGAATTTCACTCTTGTTGCCCAGGCTGGAGTGCAATGGCGGGATCTCGGCTCACTGCAACCTCTGCCTCCCAGGTTCAAGTGATTCTCCTGCCTCAGCTTCCCTAGTAGCTGGGATTACAGGCATGTGCCACCACGTCCAGCTAATTTTTGTATTTTTAGTAGAGATAAGGTTTCTCCATGTTGGTCAGGCTGGTTTCACACTTCTGACCTGGGGTGATCCACGTTGGCCTTCCAAAGTGCTGGGATTACAGCTATGAGCCACCGCACCAGACCTTTTTTTTTTTCTTAAATAGAGATGGGGTTTCACTGTGTTGGCCAGGCTGGTCCGGAACTCCTGACCTTGTGATCCACCTGCCTCGGCCTCCCAAAGTGCTGGGATTACAGGTGTGAGCCACCTTGCCCGGCCCTTGTTTTTTTTTGAGACAGGTTCTCACTCTGTGACCCAGGCTGACGTGCAGTGGCATGATCTCAGCTCACTGGCGCTTCCACCTCCTGGGATCGAGCAATCCTCCTGCCTCAGCCTCCTGAGTTACTGGGACTACAGGTGCATACTTGGCTTAAAAAAAAAAAAAAAAAACTTTTGTAAAGAGATAGAGTCTCACTATGTTGCCCAGACTGGCCTTGAACTCCTAGCCAAAAACAATCCTCCCACCCAGCTTCCAAGTGGCTGGCATGGCAGGTGTGAGCCACCGCACCTGGCCCGTGTTCACATTTACATCTGCCTGCCTTCACTAGGAGGGGGCCTCTCTTCTCCCTATGGAAGCTCCAGCTCTAGCTCTGTGTCTGAACACAGGAGGTCGGGGGGAAGCATCCAGCAGAGAGGGGGACGGTGCACCCCACCCCCCTGCCCACTGCACTCACCTCCATCTGCAGCTGCTCCCACTGGGTGTCTGGGACAAGCTGATAGCCAGGAGGGGGCAGGTAGATGCCCTCGGGAACCAGGGTGCCCGTGGACACCAGTGAGGCCGTCTCTTCCTGCTCAGGGCTCAGGCCCTGGCGACTGCGGGGCAGGGAGGCACTGCTGCCAGCCCCACCGCCAAGGGAGAAGGAGGAGATGGAGGCGCTGTCGTCACAGTTGTGGGCGAAGGCCTCGGCTGCCGGACCCCCATCTCCGCTCAGCTCCTCCAGAGGCTCCAGCGGGGGTGATGGGTCCCGGGACAGGGGCAGCAACTCGGTGGAGCCATGAAGGGAAGGGGCATGCTGGGGACGTCTCTAGGGAAGAGGGCAGGGACAAGGCTGGGGGGCCAGGGTCCTCTGGCATCACTCCTTCCCCAGCGCCCCTGGCCGCGCCCTCACCTGGATCTCCTGAATCAGCTCCTCAGCCCTCAGCAGCTTCGCCTTCAGCTCCTCGATCTCCTGCTCCATGGGCAGTATGATCTCACGAAGCTTCTCCGAGTCCTCGTGGGCCTGAAGGGAGGCGGGTTTGGCAGCAATAGCTCCCCCTTCCCGATTGCTGGAGCCCCAGGCCTGCTCAGAGTTTCCTCCCCAAGCATGGCAGCTCCTCCCTAGAAGATGCTGTCCACCCCAAATCCAGAGATAAGAACACAGAGATTCTGGAAGCTTCCATGACTTGCCTCAGGGCATAAGGGCAAGGATGAAGGTCACAACCTCTTCCTGTGGCCCCATCACTCACCATACCTTCCTTCCCAATACCCATTTATTCTTTTGTCATAGAACTTTACCTTTTTTTTTTTTTTAAGAGATGAGATATCAGCTGGGTGTGGTGGCTCACACCTGTAATCCCAGCGCTTTGGGAGGCTGAGGTGGGTGGATCACCTGAGGTCAGGAGTTTGAGACCAGCCTGGCTAACATGGTGAAACCCATCTCTACTAAAAATGCAAAAATTAGCTGGGCATGGTGGCTCCCACCTGTAATCTCAGCTACTCAGGAGACTGAGGCAGGAGAATCGCTTGAACCTGGAAGGCGGAGGTTGCAATGAGCCGAGATTGCACCACTGCACTCCAGCCTGGGCGACAGAGCGAGACTCCATCTCAAAAATCCAAAAATTAAAAAAAAAAGAGATGAGGTCTCGCTCCATAGCCCAGGCTGGAGTGCAGTGGCGAAATGTCGGCTCACTGTAGTCTCCACCTCCAGGACTCAAGCCATCCTCCTGCCTCAGCCTCCTGAGTAGCTGGGACTACACGCATGTGCACTGATGGGCTAATTTTTGTATTTTTTTGTGGAGGCAGGATCTTGCTATGCTGTCCAGACTGGTTTTGAACTCTTGTCCTCAAGTGATCCTCCCACCACCTTAGCTCCCAAAGTGCTGGGATTACAAGTGTAATTCCCAGTATCTGGGTTGGGATTACACCAATGCCCAGCACACCTCACAGTTTTAGTCGGGCATGAGGTCTAAATCCTAGAATACCATCCACATTTCTGAGCTTCCTTGCAACTAAACACGATCATCTGGCTAAGTTCCAGCTACTGAGATGGAAACAGATGAGCCAAAGGCACCTTCCAAGACAACTCTTTATTTGTATTATTACAATTTTTTTTTTGAGACAGAGTCTCACTCTGTCCCACAGGCTGGAGTACAATGGCATGATCTCAGCTCACTGCAACCTCTGCCTCCCGGGCTCAAGTGATTCTCCTGCCTCAGCCTTCCAAGCTGGGACTACAGGCATGCGCCACCACACCGGGCTAAGTTTTGCATTTTTTAGTAGAAACGGGGTTTCACCATGTTGGACAGGCTGGTCTCAAACTCCTGACCTCGTGATCTGCCTGCCTCGGCCTCCCAAAGTGCTGGGATTATAAGTGTGGGCCACTGTGCCTGGCCTATTATTACTTTTTTTTGAGATGGAGTCTCTCTCTGTTGCCTAGGCTGGAGTGCAGTGGCGTGATCTCAGCTCACTACAACCTCCACCTCCAGGGTTCAAGCAATTCTGCCTCAGCCTCCTAAGTAACTGGGATTACAGGTGCCCGCCACCATACCTGGCTCATTTTTGTATTTTTAGTAGAGACTGGGTTTCACCATATTGGCCAGGCTGGTCTCAAACTCCTGACCTCATGATATACCCACCTTGGCCTCTCAAAGTGCTGGGATTACAAGCATAAGCCACCGTGCCCAGCCCAATCCACTGTTAATTTGAGCTTTCAATCACATGCAGCCAAATCTCATCCTAATCGATTTGTTCTCCCACACTCCCATCACCACCACAGAGCTGACCTGGGCAAATTTTTTTTTTTTTTTTTGAGACGGCGTCTCAAAAGCAGTGATTGAATCTCAGCTCACGACAATCTCCACCTCCCAGGTTCTCCACCTCCCGGGTTCAGCCTCCCAAGTAGCTGGAACTATAGACACATGCCACCATACTTGCCTAATTTTTGTATTTTTTATAGAGATGGGGTTTCACCATGTTGGCCAGGATGGTCTTGAACTCCTGACCTCATATTTTCCCATTTCTTTTCAAGCTTAAGATCCTGCTGACCTTGAGCAGCCAACAGCCTCTACACATCTCCACTAGTATGCCCCACAGGCTCCTCTAACTGTAGACAGTCAAACAAAACCACTCAGTGATGCTGTTCTTCCTACCACAAGCACTCAAGTCAGTGAGAACGGCCCTGCTGGCCACCAGCTGTTCAAGGCAGAAATCTGCCAATCATCCCTGTCTCCGTCACTTCCCACTTCTAGTTCATGCCCTTTCTCCTTCTTGAATTACTCAAAATCTTCTCAAGAAAGCTCACTTTAATCATCCAAATCTCTCTCTTTTTTTTTTTTTTGAGATGGAGCCTCACTCTGTCACCCAGGCTGGAGTGCAGTGTTGCGATCTCAGCTGACTGCAACCTCCGCCACCCGGGTTCCAGTGATTCTCATACCTCAGTCTCCCAACTAGCTGGGATTACAGGTGCCTGCCACCATGCCCAGCTAATTTTTGTATTTTTTAGATTTCACCATGTTGGCCAGGCTGGTCTTGAACTCCTGACCTCAAGTGATCTGCCTGTCTCGACCTCCCAAAGTGCTGGGATTACCATGAGCCTCTGCACCTGGCTGAGAGGTAGCAATAGATTACCAAGAGGTAATATATACCGGGGTAGTTAATAACAGTAAGAATTTTTCTGCTACCCTTAAGTGTAAGTTCCCTTCCCTCTATACAGCTTAAGTTTGGAGGTCAGTGACCTTGGTCACCCACTAATAAGGAGCAAGCCAGGACCCTACGGAGCACGGAGCCAAGCTCTCAACAACACATGGTAACTCTATTGATTCCAAGGATCACTACTGGGTTCCCTGTACCCCATGACCAGGGAACGGGACATCCACAATCCTCAAAATCCTTCCAAATCCCAACGCTGCGGGGAAGCCATCCCCACCCCAACCTTTTCCATCTGCTTCTCCAGGGAGTCCAGGGGGTGGGCCCGGGACAGCAGCTGCTTTAGGCGGCCCAGCTCCCGCTCCTTCTCCTCACAGTCCTGCTGCTGCTGCTGTCGCTCCTGCTTCAGGGCGGTGATCTGGGCCTCATAGCTGCTGATGGAGTCTGGCAGGGGAGGAAGGGCAGGGAAGAGGAAGGGTCAGCGAGCAGGCCCTGCCTGTGGGTGAGCAGCGGACTCTTGATGCACTGACTCTTTCTGTGAGACTGCACCATAGCAGTTGCTATGGCAGGCTTTGCAGAAATTGACCTGGGCAATCACTCAGGCTCTCAGTGTGCATCCGTGTCCTTAGGTGCAAAATGGGGAAACTACTGATCACCCTTCTGGTGGCTACGGATTAAATGAGATGACATACCTGAGATAAATACTGTACAAAAAAATAAAAAATAGATGAGATGACATAGCTCTTTCTCTGGTACACAGAAGACATCATACTGTTCCTATTAATATATACCAGGAACAGTCAATATTTAGCATACATATTGCTAAATATTGAAGAACCGGAAGAATTTTTTTTTTTTTTGAGACAGAGTCTCGAATGCAGTGGTGGAATCTCAACTCACCTCAACCTTCGCCTCTCTGGTTCAAGCAATTCTCCTGTCTCAGCCTCCCAAGTAGCTGGAACTACAGGCACGTGCCACCATGCCTGGCTAATTTTTGTATTTTTAGTAGAGATGGGGTTTCACCATGTTGGCCAGGATGGTATCGAACTCCTGACCTCATAATCTGCCTGGCTCAGCCTCTTAAAGTGTTGGGATTACAAGCATGAGCCACCATGCCCAGCAAAAACAGTAATTTTTTGTTATTATTATTATTATTATTTTGAAACAGAGCCTTACTCTGTCAGCTAGGCTGGAGTGCAGTGACACAATCTTGGCTCACTGCAACCTCTGCCTCCCTAGTTCAAGCAATTGCCATGCCTCAGCCCCCTGAGTAGCTGGGATTACAGGTGCCCACCACCACGCCTGGCTATTTTGTATTTTTAGTAGAGACAGGGTTTCGCTGTGTTAGCCAGGCTGGTCTCGAACTCCTGACCTCAAATGATCCACCCACCTTGGCCAACCAAAGTGTTGGGATTACAGGTGTAAGCCACTGCTCCCAGCCTTATTTATTTATTTATTTATTTCTTGAGAAAGGGTCTCACTCTGTTGTCCAGGCTGAAGTGCAGTGTCACAATCAAGACTCACCGCAACCTCAGCCTCCTGGGTTCAAGCAATCCTCCCACCTCAGCATCCCTAGTAGCTGGGACTACAGACACACACTACCACGCCTGGCTAATTTTTGTATTTTTTGTAGAAATGAGTGTCTCACCATGTTTCCCAGGGTGGTCTCGAAATCCTGAGCTCAAGTGATCCTCCCGTCTCAGCCTCCCAAAGTGCTGGGATTTACAGGCATGAACCACCACACCTGGCCCTTAATCATAATAGTAAATATGTATGCTGAATCAGACTCTGAGCTGGGCTCTGGAAATACAGAAATAAACACAAAGCTTGCCGCCGGGAGCTCAGAGTCCAATGAGGATGGCAGCTGTGGCCATAGTTAGGATGTGGTACGGGAGGATAGAGGTACAGGAAAGGACCCTTCCTGGGCTTGGGGATCCCAGAGGAAGGAGCCCTCACTCTGCCTGCCTGGCCAGGCAGGAGAGGACACTGGTAATAATAATAATAACACTAACAGACAGTGAAGGAGGGAAAGGATGCATGAGCTAACAGGACCAGTATGAGCAGAGGAAGAGTGGCTGGCATGGCCGGGGCATGGTAGGGTATGTTGGAGGGGTTGGAAGAGTAAAGGCGCCCAAGGAGAGACACTGGAAAGGAGGAGAGGATGGCAGTGGATGGCTCCCAAAGCCTTGAATGCCATGCCAAGAGGTTTGGAACTTATCCTACAGGTCAGCAGGAGATGGAGGTGATGTTGGCTAGAACATAGACTTTTTTCTTGGGAGTCAGGGCCGGGCATGGTGGCTCATCTCTATAATCCTAGCACTTTGGGAGACAGAGGCGGGTGAATCACCTGAGGTCAGGAGTTCGAGACCAGCCTGGCCAACATGGAAAAACCCCATCTCTACGAAAAACACAAAAATAAACTAGGTATGGTATTGGGCACCTATAATTCTAGTGACTTGGGAGGTTGAGGCAGGAGAATTGCTTGAACCCGAGAGGTAGAGGTTACAGTGAGCTGTGATTGTGCCATTGCACTTCAGCCTGGTGACAGAGTAGGACTCTGTCTCAAAAAAAAAGAGAGAGAGAGTCAGGATCTCCCTTTGTCACCCACGTCACCCAGGCTGGAGTGCAGTGGCGCAATCAGAGTTCACCACAGCCTTAAACTCTTAGGTTCAAGTGATCCTCCTGCCTCAGCCTCCCAAGTAGCAGGCACCACAGGCACTTGCCACCATACCCAGCTAAGGGTCTCACTTTGGTGCCCAGGCTGGTCTCAAATTCCTGACCTCAAGTGCTCCTCCCAGCTGAGTAACCTGCACATGTTTTATTTTTGGTAGAATGTGGTCATTTTTTGTTTGTATTATAGATATTGATTTATTATTGTACACTAACAGTAGAAGCAAAGGCTCAGCTTGCAGGCTGCTTGGTTTCAAATCTCCGGCTGTTTTCCAACTATATGACCTTGGGCAAGTTATTTAAACTCTCGGCCTCAGAGCTTCCTCTGTAAAATGGAGATGGATAATAGCTCCTGCCTCACAGTTTGTTATGAAGATTAGTTACTCATAAAGCATTTAGCTCAGTACCTGGCACACAGTGAGTGCTCAAAACGTGCTAGCTGGCCGGGCGCAGTGGCTCACACCTGTAAATCCCAGCACTTTGGGAGGCCAAGGCAGGCAGATCGTTTGAGCTCAGGAGTTCAAGACCAGTCTGAGCAACATAGTGAGACCCTGTTTCTACAAAAAATTAGCCAGGCATGGTAGCATGCACCTATAGTCCCAGCTACTTGGGAGGCTGAGGTTGGAGGATCTGCTTGAGCCCAGGAGGTGGAGGTTTCAGTGAGCTGAGATCACATCACTGCACTCCAGCGTGAGCAACAGAGCAAAACTCCTACTGACTCAAAAAACAAAACAAAATTTAAAAAAGCTAGCTATTGTTATTATTTAGAACACACCTGGTTTTCCTTATACAGTAGAGATAACAAGTTTCCCTTAATAAAGATATGTAAGCTTTTAAAATGTGGACCCATTTAAAGAACAAATATTAAGTAAACAGCAGGGTAAGTTGTACAAAGACATGACTACATTGCGCAGGCACGTGGATCCTGAAATGCAGGAAATACAGCCCCAGAGAAGTCTGCAGCCAGGAGTGGCTGTAGGGAAATCAAATGGTGGGAAGGAAATTTTAGGAAGTTTATCTGGAAGCCAGTGTCAAGGCCAGACTATAGAGGGAGATCTGTGAGAAGGTTGGGACAACAGTCCAGGAGAGAGTTGACGAGAGCCCCACTATAGCAGGGGCAGAGAGGTGGGGGCAGCTCTGACATGTTTCAGAGGCTCTGGCTTCTGCTAGAGGAAGGTGAGTAGAAAGGACGAGCAGCTGGGGCATCTGGGGCTAGAGGAGCAAGTACAGATAATGTGAGGCCGAAGGAGGGAAGCTGGTACACAGCCTGGGGAGGAGGGAGTGTCTGGGGAAGGCTGGAGAGCAGAGCATTAGACTCACAGAGACTGGGCCAGGCCTGATTCTATTTCCCGGAGGCCCAGACTAAAACGAGGCTGGTTTGGGGAACTAAGCAGTTTCTCACTTATCTTCAGGGTTGATCAATCATCAGTAAGGGACAAGAAATGACATGGGGCAAGGCAACAGATGGAAGCTGGGAGCTAAACTTAGCTGTCTGACTGAACTGCTGCTATCACATGGAGTGCCTCTATGCAAATTTTAAAAGGGCGGCCCTTCCTCTGGGCCATAGTCATGCCCTGTGCTAGGCAACCCTGCTAACCTACTCAATTGCTTATCTGTGCTCCTCGACCCTTTTCTCGTCATTCACTTCCCAGTATGGGGCTGAAGGGGAGTCTAGGTGAGACCCCCGTCTCACCTTTCAGGATGGCCTGCAGCGAGGCCACCTCCTCTTGGCACTGCCGCTGAACCGCAGCCACAGCCTCGGCCTTCGTGCTCTCGCTCACCTCCGCCACAGCCTTCATGGTCTCCATTTCTGCCAGGGCGCCTGCCAGCTCAGCCCGAAGCCGGCTGAGCTCACCTGACTCGGCCTCAACATTCGCCCCTTCCTGGGGCTGGGGGCCCTCCACTGCTGTGGGGGACAGAGATCAGTCTCTCTTCCCATCTCTTAACACGCCAGGCCACCTAACGACTTAGCAAGTCCTGCAACCTAGTACTGTTGCCTTCACCTGGGGCCGCCTTCACCTGGGCCGGTCCCGCTCACCTAGCCCTGCCCCTGCCCCGCCCCCTTCCCACTCGCTCCGCCGGGTGCTGCCTACACTCCATCTCTTCGTGGTTGCCAGTTTCACTCAATCCTCTATTCGCTCTAATCCGGCCCTGCCCTTCCAATGGCCACGCCCCTTCCTCACTGGGCCCCCACAACGCACCTGTCACAGGCCCTACCCGTTGAATGGCCTGGCCACGCTCCCTTCGCCGGTGGCTCTGGGACCCGCCCCCTTTCGCGCGGCGTGGCCCCGCCCCTTCCTCCATCTCCCCTCTCCACCCCCCATTCGCAGGTGGCCAGCTCGGCCCCGCCCCTAGTTTCACCGCTCCCCGCGTGCACGGTCGCCCTTCACGTACCAGCCCCTAGCCCCCGCCGCCGCTGATTTTCGCCCGCGGCCACCGGCGCAGCTGCCGCCATCGCCTCAACGCAAACGGCGGATTCTCGCACTCCCTGGTGACGGAGCGCACCGCTTCCGGGTCCGCTCGGCAGTTTCCGGATCCGCTCGGCTGTTTCCGGATAGGCTCCGGGCTCGAGGCCCCGGACGGAGCTTGAGGGGGATTCCGAGCCTCGGCCGGAGATTCCCGAGTCAGCCCCCTGCTCCGGCCCCGCCCCAACCCTTCCTGGCTGGACCGTGCGGTTCGGGAGGACCGCTGTCCGTCAAGCCCGGAAGAAGATCTTTCTTAAGAGGTCTTTTTAGGCGTCTCTCCGTGACCTTGGAAGCCCTGCTCCGATTATGCCTCCTCCGGGACGCTGGCCGAGCAGGCCGGAGCGCTCCCCCTCGCTCCCTCGCTGCCCCTGCCCGGAGGCTTTAATCCGCTCTGGCCGTCCTTCCTCCCGAACCTGGCTCGCGTCACAGCGAATTGTGGCGGGGCCCTCCCTGCACCTCCGCCCTCGTGGAGCGTCCCTCCGGGCAGGGCCAGGTCCGCTTCATTTTTCTGAGCGCCTCCGAGTCCCCGCGTAGTCGGAGTCTGAAACTTGCACGTCCCCACCCCCATTTTGTTCAGCCAGTCACCGCTTCCTGCTGGTCCCCCTCTCCCCCTCCCAGCGCCCTCAAATCCCTCCTCTCCTCTCCGCCTCTGTCTAGATCAGGCTCTTTATCATCTGTGACCTCCACCCGGACGGTGACAGGCTATTCAGATTTATGTCCAGAGCTTTGGTTCCCCTTCCTCCAAACTTTTTTCTCCCTCTGTAGAGGGCACGCCAGGAACCTGGAAGTCCTTGGTTTTTTGTGTCCTGCAAGTCCCCTAAACTCTACTTCCAGTGTGCCCATTATTCCAGAATGTGCCCCTTTTTCTCCATCCCCAGCGCTAACACTCCGTCCCAGCTCTCATCACTTCTCTCCGGAACTTCCACAGTGCTGACTCTCGGCCCTTTAATTAATTAATTAATTCTCTGTAAAGCAGCTGGAGTGATTTTTGTAAAACAGATAATGCAGTTTGAAAATGGACAGAGGTAGAACGCTTTTACACTGTTGGTGGGAATGTAAATTAAGTCAACCATTGTAGAAGACAGTGTGGCGATTCCTCAGACCTAGAACCAGAAGTACCATTTGGCCCAGAAATCCCATTACTGGGTATATATCCAAAGGAATACAAATCATCCTATTACAAAGATACATACACGCGTATGTTCATTGCAGCACTATTTAAAATAGCAAAGACTTGGACTCAACCCAAATGCCCGTCAGTGATAGACTGGATAAAGCAAATATGGTACATACACACCATGAAATACTATACAGCCATCAAAAGGAATGAGATCATGTCCTTTGCAGGGACATGGATGGAGCTAGAAGCTATTATCCTTAGCAAACTAATGCAGGAACAGAAAACTAAACGCCGAACCGTATGTTCTCACTTTAAGTGGGAGCTGAACAATGAGAACACACGGAGACAGGGAGGGGAACAACACACACTGGATCCTGTGGGGGTGAGGGTTAGGAAGAGTAGCTAATGCATGCTGGGCTTAATACCTAGGTATTGGGTTGGGTTGATTACCTTAATACCTAGGTATAGGTGTTGGGTTGATAGGTGCAGCAAATTAGCATGGCACACATTTACCTATGTAACAAAGCTGCACATCTTGCACATGTACCCCAGAACTTAAAGAAAATGGACAGGCCGGGTGCGGTGGCTCACACCTGTAATCCCAGCACTTTGGGAGGCCGAGGCGGGTGGATCATGAGGTCAAGAGATCGAGACCATCCTGGTCAACATGGTGAAACCCCGTCTCTACTAAAAATACAAAAATTAGCTGGGCATGGTGGCCCATGCCTGTAATCCCAGCTACTCAGGAGGCTGAGGCAGGAGAATTGCCTGAACCCAGGAGGCGGAGGTTGTGGGAGGCGGAGGTTGCGGGAGCCGAGATCATGCCATTGCACTCCAGCCTGGGTAACAAGAGCGAAACTCCGTCTCAAAGAAAAGAAAAGAAAAGAAAATGGACAAAGGACATGAATAGACATTTCACTGCTGTCACAGTGGGCAATATGTGCATGAAAAGGTGTTAAGCATCATTAGCTATTGATTAGGGAAATACAAATTAAAGCCACAATCCATTTCATCACTAAGCACTTCTTGGAATGGGTAAAATAGGAGTACTAGGCTGGGTACGGTGGCTCACACCTATAATCCCATCACTTTGGGAGACAGAGGCAGGTGGATCACCTGAGGTTGGGAGTTCGAGACCAAACTGACCAACATGGAGAAACCCTGTCTCTACGAAAAATGCAAAATTAGCCTGGCATGGTGGCACATGCTTGTAATCCCAACTACTCAGGAGTCTGAGGCAGGAGAATCGCTTGAACCCAGAAGTGGAAGTTGCGGTGAGTTGAAATCACTCCAGCCTGGGCAACAAGAGCAAGACTCCGTCCCCCCAAAAAAAAAAAGTGCTAACACTAAATGTTGGTGAGTACGTGGGAGAAATTGGGTTTCTCATATATTGTTGATGGGAATGTGAAATGGTATAGCCACCTGCAATTTCTAACAACACTAAACATGCACTGACGTTTTCATCAAGTATAAAACCAAGTGTTTTCCACCAAGCTTTTCACCACCTGAGGTCTCGGCTCAAACGTTACCTCCTCAGTGAGGCCTTCCCTGATCACCCTAACTAAAATAGCCACCTCTGGCTAAATTGGTGGCTTACGACTGGAATGCTAGCACTTTGGGAGGCCAATGGTGGGAGGATCACTTGAGCCCAGGAGTTCGAGGCAGCATAGTGAGACCTCATCTCTTTTTTTCTTTTTTTTAATTTTTTTTTTTTTTTAAAGACGGGGTTTCACCGTGTTGGCCAGGCTGGTCTTGAACTCCTGACCTCAGGTGATCCACCTGCCTCGGCCTCTCACGGCCACCGTGCCCAGCCTGTGAGACCTCATCTCTACAAAAACTTAAAAAATTAGCTGGGCATGGTGATGTGCATCTATAGTCCTAGCTACTTAGGAGGCTGAGGTGGGAGGATCACTTGAGCCCTGGAGGCCGAGGCTGCAGTGAGTGTGATTGTGCCACTGTACTCCAGCCTTAGTAACACAGAGCAAGATCCTGTCTCAAAAAAAAAAAAAAAAAATTAAATCCAGACTCCCTGTTCGTGCAGCAGGGTTTCTGGGGGAGGGTCTGAAACCATGACTAGAAATTAGCCTCCAGTCAGTTTGGGAGGGACTTCCTGACAGCTCCTGCGGGCCCTGGGAGCAACTGAAGGCCATGGAGCAGGAGAGGCACAAAACTAATATCAAAGAAGTTCTCTCGACATTTGGAGTATCCATGGGAACCAAAAGACATTGGGGACCGGTAGGCCAGGAGAGAGGCTGTTGACTTGCTTCTGATTGTGAAGGAAGAATTCAAAGACGGGGAAAATTGATTCTATCAGTATTTAGGATATAAAATGGACTAACTAGCCTTGATGACAGAGTTCATGTGGGGGTAGAGAAAAGGAAATTTTCAGCCAGACACGGTGGCTCACACCTGTAATCCCAGAACTTTGGGAGGCCGAGTTGAGCAGATCACCTGAAGTCAGGAGTTCGAGACCAGGCTGGCCAAAATGGTGAAACCCCATCTCTACTAAAAATACAAAAATTAGCCAGGCATGGTAGTAGGTGCATGTAATCCCAGCTATTCAGGAGGCTTATATATTATAACTTCAACTGGTGCATATGATATATTCATATATATATATATATATATATATATATATATCCCATATATATGAGAGAGAGAGAGAGAGACAGAGACAGAGACAGAGAGAGAGACAGGGTCTTGCTCTGTTGCCCAGGCTGGAGTGCCATTTCAATTCAGCCTTTGTACCCCGATCCTCCTGCCTCAGCCTCCCAAGTAGCTGGAACCACAGTCATGTGCCACCACACCCGGCTAATTTTTTTGTATTTTTGGTAGAGATGGGATTTTGCCATGTTACCCAGGCTGCTCTCCAACTCCTGAGCTCAAGCAATCTGCCTGCCTTGGCCCCCCAAAATGCTGGGATTACAGGCCTGAGATATACTTTTGAAAATAATAATACTTATTTTTTTTAAAGCACCAGGGGCCACAGGGAGGGCCTCTTTGAAGAAGTACCAGTTGAACTGAGACCTGAGTGATGAAAAGAACCAGTCCGGTAAAGAGCCAAAGAGCCCCCAGCAGAGATCCAGGAAGAAGGGCCGCAAATGCAAGGGCCCTGGGGCAGGGAAGCACTCGGCAAGGAGAGTGGTAGAGGCATGAGGTGGAAAATTAGGTAGATCAGCAACACTTGGCCTACTAGGCCTTTGGTTGGAGTTTTTATTTTAGATAGATGAAAAGCAACTGACTTTTTTAGGTTTTTTTTTTTTACATTTCTGTAGAGATGGGGTCTTGCTTTATTGCCCAGGCTGGTCTCAAATTCCTGTCCTCAAGGGATCATCTCACCTCAGCCTCCTAAAGTGTTGGGATTACAGGCATGAGCCTCTGTGCCTGGCTGTAACTGACATGTTTTAAACAGAGTAAGGACATGCTCTGGTGAGGGCTAGTCCAGGCAGCTGGGAAGCTAATGAGGGGATTAGAGAGATTTTGTTGAATGAAAGGCAGATTGAGTCCTGCTACTTGCCCTCTTCCTTCCCCAGTGCCTCACTCTTCCGCCTCCCAGCCCCCTCAACTGGCCAAAGGGAAGTGGGGGCCCTGCCACCTGTAGGGAGGGTCCCTTGGGGCTTGCCCATGGCAAACAGGAAGTTACAGTCTGTAGTGAGATGGGCCTGGGAATCAGCCACTGAGAAAGTGAGAAAGTGGGTCTCTTGGGTCCCTGAACTCTGTTTCTGAGTGCCTGCAGCAGTGAGAAAGACACAGAGGCAGAGAGAGAGAGAGAGAGAGAGGGAGGGAGGGAGGGAGGGAGGGAGGGAGGGAAGGGGAGGGAGAGAGAGAGAGAGAGGGAGAGGGAGAGGGAGAGGGAGAGGGAGAGGGAGAGAGGAGGCATGGGGCAGAGTAAGAACAGATTTAGAAGTTAAAACTTTAGAACTCCTGGGTTCTTTCAAAACAATTGTTTTTATAGACAAGCTCTTCCCGTGTTGCCCAGGCTGGAGCACAGTGGCTATTCCCAGCCACAATCATGGCACACTGCAGCCTGGAACTCCTGGGGTCAACCGATCCTTCTACCTCAATTTCCCAAGGATCTGGGACCATAGGTGTGCACCACTGTGCCTGGCTTTTGCCTGGTTTTGAACTGAGGCAGTATGACTTGAGCTCTTAGCCATTACTTGATGCTATATCTCATTAACTGAGGGCTTACTGTGTGCCGGACACTGGGGTAATGGTGCCAAACATATTGTCCTTTTTAATCTTTACAAACAAACAATATTTGTATAGAACTGTTTTCTCTTCTTTTCTTTTTTCTTTTTCCTTTTTTTGAGGCAGAGTCTCACTCTCAGACCCAGGCTGGAGTGCAGTGGTGTGATCTCAGCTCACTGCAACCTCTGCCTCCCAGGTTCAAGCGATCCTCCTGCCTCAGCCTCCCAAGTAGGTGGGATTACAGGCCCACGCCACCATGTCCAGCTAATTTTGTATATTTAATAGACACGGGGTTTCACCATATTGGCCAGGCTGGTCTGGAACTGCTGACCTCCAATGCTCCTTCGGCCTCGGCCTCCCAAAGTGCTGGGATTACAGGCATAAGCCACCACGCGTAGTCTGTTTAGAGCTATTATTATCCCAGCTGATAGAGAAATAAACTGAGGCTTTGAATGATGAAGAGGTTTAGCCAAATGGTGGAGGCACAAGATTCAAACTCACGTCAGCCAGAACCCAGAGTATGTTAGGGCGTGGGTGGGTGGAGGTGAAAGGAGAACCCGTGAAATGTTTGCTGAATGAATGAATGGGGTTTGTGTGAGTGAAGAG